AATAATTTTTTAAACTTCATGCTAACCCAAGTCATTCAATTTGACATCTAATGAGTAGGAATGAATGTGATTTTTTTTGTAATAAAGATAAATGATCTCATTGTTTACAATCCCTTCTTATAAATATGTCCCCTTGTTTGTTTTTTAGGGAATTTTTGAGGTGGTGAAAAATTATAGATGGCTTCCCTTCCACAATTCTCAAAAGTCGGTGCTTCTTTTAGGGTTTTATATGGTTGCAGATTCTTTTATATATATATATATATATATATATACTTATTTGTTTTGGTGGAATTTTTTTTTTTTTTTGAACTGAAACGTTTGTTTTTGTGGAAATTTTTGAGGTGATGAAAGATTATAGATGGCTTCTCTTCCACAATTCTCAAAAGTTGGTGCATCTTATATGGTTGAAGTTGGTATTCTCCAACAAATATTTGAAAGACGGTCTTCACTACTATTTTGAAAAGGGAAAGAAGATAAGGAAATTAATCTCATATAGATAACTCTGTTATTTTTCTATTTTCTTGTTCTCAAATTCTGAAGCTACCGGTTAACAATAACTATTGTAATCATTTTAAGAAAACATATATAATGAGACATTTACTTTTGATACAACGAGGTCGTAATCATCATTGACCGTTGTATTTGAATTCGGGTGGTATGTCATTGCTTAAGTACAAAGTCCAAAATAAAAATTTTCAAATATTGTGTCAATTTCATTTATTTGATTTCATATCAAAGACTAAAAATGATTGTAACCTCTTTGTATCAAAAATACAATCATTTATTTTATTGCTTAATGGATTTTCTTGGTGAGGTAATGCAATTTTTCACTTCTTTAAAGAAATTATCTGGGTGTTATGTTTGGTTCTTAATTCCCTACAAATTTGTATATTTCTACTTCTGCAGGTTTGGTAATTATTTAAAAGAAAAAAAGTAGTTCTCTTTGATTCATATATGGATGGAAGGGCACTATTTTTCAATAAGTAGTATTAGAACCCTGATTATTGGCTTTATTTTTTGAAAAAATTTGAGAAAAACAATCATGTGTGAATCATAGCGGCAAACACAAGCAAGATGATTAGCTTAAATGGAAATAAGTAATGCATTTGAAGGACTACTAGCGGATGTTCTACAATGCAAAGATTTATATGCTTCCATTGAGGATGATGGAGCCAAACCAAAAGAGAGAGACAAAAGAAGAATGAAGAGATGACAAAAGAAGAATGAAAGAAGTTAGACCGGAAAGCGTGTTGGGTGACTGTGTTTCACCATATGTAGAGTGAAACTTCAGCACTATGGGTTTTACCTGGTTGTATGAAAGAACGACAGAGAACTAGTCAAATTGAAGTTTAAAGGGGGTTTGCCGATAGCAAAGCATTAAAATGAGACACAGACCCTAGTGAATCAACTCTCTTCCATGAAGATAGTGTTGGATTACTAAGTAACAAGCCTTGTTATTCCTCAGTTTGTTACCTGATACAGATTATGTTATTGGTACCGGTACTTGCAACCTGCTAATCCATGAAAGGATTTCTTTATATCTTGCAAGTTAAAAACCGTTTTACTTTTTTTGGTAATTTAGTGGGGATGACGAGTCCCTACTCGTTTTTTTAAAATTGTTAGTAGTTTTTTTAATGCGTTAGATGAGAATGGAAACCTAAAACTTAGCTGGGGCACAAGTGGTGCTACCACAATGACCACAAACCCCATTCTCGCAAGTTAAAAACTGTTGGCATTGTAAAGATGAGAAACAATAGCACATCAAATATTGTGGGAAGGGATGTTAGGGTGCTCACACTATAAAGCATTTTATAATTGTTCTCAATAAGTTTTGGACATTTATATGGACACTTAAAAATAAGATAAAATATCCCTGTACCTCTTATATTTAGATTTCATTTCACAGTAGAACCAAAGTTTTAAAAGATATCTTGGGGCATAAAATTTGTAGATTTTATTTCTTCTAACACCCTGAACTACTTTAAACATGTTTTCTTAAGCCAAACAAATCTAAAAAGACATGTTTTTTCTAAAAGCCATCCTCTCAAAGTTCTGTCTCTTTCTCTCTCCCCGTACCCTTTCTCTCTCTCTATCTTTCTCATCTCTAACCCCTCACTGTCTCTCCTCTCACTCTCTCTCACTTCATGTCTCCCATCACTCTCTCTTCTCCCAAATACACAGTAAGTATACAGAGAGATAAGTGTTTGGTAGTGAGAGGTTACCAGGAGGAGAAAGAGGTATTTGGATGAAAACATAAAGAGAGAGAGGCGTTTGGATAAACACGGAAGGAGAGAGATGCTTGGTGGTAAGAGGTTACCTGGAAGAGTGACAAAGATATTTGGATAAACATGGGAAGAGAGAGGTGTTTTGACATGGAAAGAGAGAGAGATGTGTTTGGATAAATACTGGAGGAGAGAGAATGAAACATGCAGCAAGAGAGAGAAATATAGAAGTTTGGAGTATATAAATGAAAAGAGAGAAGAAACTGAGTTCAGAAAGAGCATCTCTTTCTAACATTTGTTTAGATTAAAAATTAGGTTTAAAGTGGTCAGGGGGTTGGAATATATTTTTTGAAACATTGGATTTATTAAGAAATAAAATCTAAAAATAGAAGATGTGGAGATATTTTCCCTAAAAATAATAATAATAGCAAACAAAGCAACTCCGACGGTGGGATTTGAACAAAGAAACTTACTCGAAAATATATACATAAAAAAAAGAAGGAAAAATCCTAATACTTTTGGGCTTTTTCTTTATCAATTTAATTTTAACTTCTAATGTTGCAATTTATAAGGACTTAAAGGGTGAATTCTTAAAAAAAAAAAGACAAATAAAGAAATTTGTTGAGTAAAATTGTAATTTCTCGTTTTTGTACTGTATGTTTTTAAATTGTAACTTTTATTTGCAAGAACTTTTAGATTAGTGTTTATTTTTTATGTAACAATCACTAAAACCAACAAATGAAAATGCAAAAAAAAAAAAAAAATGTTTGGGTCATTTTATTTTATTTTTCTGCTAATATTTTTTCAATTTTTGGTTTGGAAAATGGGAAAAAGGATCTAGAAAATCCAAAAAACAGAAAAAGGAAAAACATAAAAAATAAAAAAAGATAGAAAAATTCTTTTTTTGAGTTTTTCTATTTCTTATTGATTTTCTTTTCTTTTTTTTACTTTTTTATTCTCTTTTCACTTTGAATGGTCTTAAAAGAAAATAATAATAATAAGAGAACGAAAAGTAATGCACTTTTTGTTTGGTGTCTTTTTATAAAGAATTATTGATGGGTATTTCTTCATTACTTGAAGAGTTATATATGTTCATAATATTTTTAAAAACAATTTTTCCCATATGTTTTTTATTTTCCTTCAGATTTCCTCATTTTATAATTTTTATTAATTATTTAATTTCCTAAACCAGTCCACCAGTCCAGTTCGCCGGTCCAACCGAACCGGTGCCCTTCAATGGTTCGACCTCCCAGATCATAAATTGGAAATGAAAGTTTTTTGAAGCCTTAAATATGGTCCATCTTGTACCCTTACCAAATTATTTTTGATGCTCCATATTCATGACTCTCAGGCACAAATGGATTTGAATAGATTTTGGATGTGTTTCGGGTCCTAAATCAGGTCAAAAATGAGGACACGTGAATCGAGAGGAAACCAAACTTTTATTGGATTGTATAAAATCATTTATCGTTCTTAAAAAGAGATCACAATTATTTTTAGTTATTAGATGTCAAATTGGATGGCTTAAGATGTATCACGAAATTCAAGTCTATTCAATTACTCTTACAACTACCCAATTGAAATTTAACGGACAATAATGTTTGTGAACTCCTTGTATAAAAAATAAATAACTTCTTTATACATTTTTCTGTTTAATATATCAAAACAAATTCAAGAACTACCAAGTCATGCCCATCATAGCTCCCTAGATCAACTCATGACTCCTGGACCCTTCATGAATCTGCAAGCCATGGATTACGTTTTAGTAATTATAAACTTCCTAGTCTTCCCGGGTAAGAGCGATAAGAGGATGCAATGTTTCCTTTTATTAGGGGTCGCAATGGACCCGGACCTGACCCAAGACCTGAGGGGTAGACCCAATTCGGGTCCGAGTATGAGGTCCAAAATTGGACTTGCCAAGTTGCATCTGGGTCCAAATCTTGGACCCAAACACTATTCAGGTCCAAGTCTGGGTCCGGGTCTGGTAATAACTTTCGAGTTCCAATATCTGACATACATTAAAATATTGTTAAATATATAAATATTTTAATTTTTAGGTCGGGTTCAAATCCATGTCCGGGTCCAATGAATTCGGGTCCAAGTCTGGGTCCTATATCACCCGATCCAACCCGTTGCCACGCCTAGCTTTTATTAAGTTAGCAAATCACCACAACCGTCACTATAGCCCAAAATATTGTGATTCATTTAGTGCATGTTTGGGCAGACTGCCATATTGTGGTTAACTAAAATGTACAGACATTGAACTGTATAAACCAGGATGCCTTTGGGCGCATCCTTATAGCCACTACTATCGAAAGCGCACACAAAACTCTCCACTTCAATTGACTGGTGTGGAATTAGGTTGGACCTGATTCAAAGCAATATGGAGCACAGATTCCGAGCCAAAATGAATGGAAGGCAGCCAGATGTAAGCAAACATCACATTTACTACACCAGACACATCTTACGAGTTTCATGTCACAGTGGTGGTGCATCCATCATCCATTCTCAACGTGGATATGAAACATAAATCCCGATAAATATACAACAGTTAATCTCAACCATCCATCTGCATTTAGTAAAAGGTATGCCCCCATTTGTAGTTGGTACACATTTCTACCGGTTTGTAGTCATGCCACTTTACGATGGACACTGTTGGAAGTCCTTTTTATTGCAATATTTCCACTAATATATAACATAGTTTCCATTGATTTGTGCTAACCATGCAATTTGATGAACAAATCTACTGCATTTTTTTGGTTGTCATGCACTTCCGAGGAAAGAAATGAAACTCTTTTAGTTGCATTGCTTCATTTTAAATACTCCTTGAATTAGCAGTTGAATCTTAGTTTTTCAAGGTACATTAGATAAAGGGAAAAAAAAAAAGCCTAATATTGGTTCCCATTTACAAAAGGCATGTGAATTACAATAGAGCACTGGTATGGCACTCACCTGAAGGATGATGTTTCAAAAGGGAGCCGAGTATCTGTTGGGTCTTTTCGCATCAATTGAAGAGCCTACCAAACTGTATTTAATCAACAAGAAAACAATTAATCTGAGATAGCATGTTTGAGGGAAACTGTACAAAGAAAAAGAACACAATGACATAGGATCTAAGGTACCCAAAAATGAGATTGTTTTCCTAAAAGAACACCACCACATTTGTGATCCATAGCTTCACTAGTACTCAATGGGCAACTCACATGTGATAGAGGAGCTTGAGATCAAGCTGCCGCTATGTGCTCATGGGGAAATGCAACATGCCCTGTCTAGTCCCCCCAGGAAACGAGATTATACCAGCTCTGGTTATTGCATCAGTGGCTCTCAGGCAACCTACAATAACAGAGTTAAAGAAATAGATTAGAACTTCTCTCTCTCCAGTAAATGATAATAATGTATTAAAAACATAGTAGTAACCTGCTAACATGCACCCCAGGAAATTTGCAGAAATCAGAAGCGGTGTTATAAAAATTGTGACCCTGGCGAGTCCGGAGCCAAAATCTAGCCACTCTTTCTTTAAGAAACCTTATATTATGTTTTTATAGACCCAACTTTGTCTTGATCAAACTCAGCCGAGTACAATGGGTGACTCAGGCTAAGGACCCTACAGAGTCCCAACCAAGTCCTCGTTATCAAATGCTGACTAGAACTAAAATGTCAGTATGTACCTCCAAGTTCATGTCTCTTCTTTTTTTATAGTTTAGCTTTTTTCTTTTCTTTAACATGGATTTACTGATCTTCATCTTCTAAGAGAACCTGTTCTGGGCGGTGAACATTTTGACTTAAAATATGAAAGAGGAGTTTTTCCTTCAAAATATGAAGATAAACCCATCAGTCTAAGAGTTTTTGGTCGAGACGTCTGCATACAACATGAGCTAGAGAGAGAGAGATTATTGTAAATGATGATAGATAAAATCAGGTTTTCTAGCTTATTCTGCCTCCAAATCAACAGAGACAAATTTGTAGGAGCTATTTCAAAAAATCCAGTTGAGAAGATAGTTTCTAACTAGTAATAGATTTTATGCGGTGATGCAGCAAAAATCAGATTTCTACTAAGAATTGTCATGTTGCTTCATACAATTTTCTTTTGTTTGATGGAAAGAAGCTGCACTTTATATATGAAAACAGGAGAATATTTTTCTTTAAATGTAAGAGATACTGCTGTTTAAATGTAAGAGATACTCCTGACATAAACGAAAGAGAAGTGAAAATAAATATTCAATATAAAAAAAAAATCGTTTTACTTTTCATTTGAAGTACTTCAGCCTACCTCCACGGGAATTCACTGGTATCGATACCAGCTTGATGAAGCTCATCAACATATTGCAAAGCTTCACGGCACTCTTCTCTATCATCAAAGAATTCCTTTTTGTCACCCTCTATTTGGTAGGTTTCATGTCCTTTCCCAGAGACAACCTGAAAAATTCTCTTTTCCATAGGTAATCAACAGCTCAAAGAATATGTCTCTATAATACATCAACATAACAATCAAACATTAATCAAACCACGCAGAAATACAAGTCGCCAAGGGCATTATTTAATTTCATATCTAGAAGGTAGAAGTGCAGTGAGGGGATCAAGTAAAGTGGAACATTACTACAATTTAAATTGGACTACGAATAAGCAAAGTTTGCACTTCATGGATTTCTCAGGAAAGATGGGGGAAGCATGGTGCGCTTATTTTAGCAACCCAAATGCCACAATCAGATTGCCTGACTGTTTATGGTTAATTTGTTATTACAGCTATGACTCCATAAGGGAGAGAGAAGAGTCGAGGGTTCTTATTTTAGCTAACCAACTGCCTGGTGCACACACCATTATCATGGGAATCAAAGAGTCACACATTTTCTTAAATAAGACAACAATACGATGAAGATCAATTTCACACGAATGAAAGAGAAATAGAGACAGAGTGAGAGAGAAGATTTAGGAGATGAAAACTTACAACTATGTCACCTTCTTCACCCATGGCCACAGCAGCTCTTACAGCTACACGTCTTATGTCATGCAGAAAAAGTCTATGACCATTTCGGAGAGGGGGGTAGTAGTCATTTTCTCCATACCTCAAGTAGTCTTGCATGGTCCATCCAACACCAGCCAACATATCGTCCAATATATCCACTAGCAAGCAAGAAAGGAAACAGTATACCAACATAAATTCAATTACCCAACCAAGAAAGATAAAATGGCTCCATCCATTTGTGCTTTTTCCTCCTTTCTTTCATGGATTCAAATTTTATGGTGTAGCATGTCAATTACTTGGCATCATTTTATGGATTCAACTTGAATAAGATATGTACACACATAACCACATTTATCCATACAAAAGTTGTCGCAGTTATGTATTTATATGTGCATATGGGTGCATGGACTATACAAGATGAATCAAGAACAAGCATAAATATGTATATACAGAGGAAATAGTGTGTGCATTATTTCAAAGGAGGAGGAATGTGAAGCTGACGAATTATTCTTATTTAGAACTACTAATCATATGATACTTCATATCTTAGAATACTTACATGGATCTTCTGTCTTTGGATTGTCTGAAGTCAGTAGTACTACATCGCTTTTATCCGTAGCAATTTTGGTCATCATAGGCCGCTTTCCTCTATCGCTTTCTCCAGCACAGCCAAAAACTTCAAATCAATCACGTAATACACAATTAGGCAACCCAGTATGATGCACAAAGATTATTTTATTAATACAATCATCTGGCTAAAATCTATTAGGCTCGAAATTCAAGTGAACTGGTAGGTAGTCTTTTATAGTTAACCCCCCATCCTAATCCAATTCATTTCATCAATATTGGAAATTATTTAGTAAAATCTGGTTAAATTTAAATGGTAAAAGAGTAACAAATTTTACATTCATAGATTTGTCACCATTAGAATCACCAATTAGCCATGGCAAGTAGCCACATTAAACGATTTCACTCAGTTGAAAGTATTCATTGGGAAAGATCTCAAAAATTTCAGCACATCATCCACCTTAAAATACTATATTGATATTTAACTATTCATTATAACTTATGTCATATTGTGTACTTTATGCATGTTAAATTTACTCTATTGAAATGTGAATATTCTGGTCTTTACTATCACTAATTTAGGATGTACATATATATATTTTGTCTGATCAATATAACTCAACCTTTTTATCCAAGAAATTATTTTCTTTCTCTTACTAGCAAGCATGGAAAATCAATCTTACGACCTGGAGGTTCAACTAAAATCTTCATACACTATGATCCAAGATGAAAACCTATGGATTCAAGATTTTCAAGATTCGGCGCTCACAAATCGAACTTATGCTGAATATAATTCCGAATTTTGACACGGTACTGCATCCTATATTCTATGGACTTATTTTTTTGTGATAGGTAAGATGGGTTCACTTTAATCCAGGGATCATTCTGAAAAGTCTATGGAACTCAAAACATTTGATTAGCCTTTTTTCAAGCAAAACACGGCCAAAAATATTCATCCCAGTGAGTTCCGATGTAGCTCTGTCCATCCCAACATGGTGTTTCACTTGGCATACTTTTATGATTACTTTTAAAGAAGGACATGAGAAAAGGTGTTTTGTCCCATCGTAATGTGACTATTCTGAATAAAGGATTTTTTGAACATGATATTCAAAATTACAGGGCTCTTGATGCAGTTGGATACTTACTACCATATGTCACCCTGTCACACTGTTTCCCAATGTACATCGATAAATTTTCATTATTGATGGGCCTAAGGAGTCCCATTTATGCCATGGACTAACAAATCACTGATTCATTTAGTATATTCATAATGACTTGTCTCGTTGCCATAAGTATGCACCTTAATTTAGTTCCTTGTCAGTATCTTGGAGAAGGAACACAATATAATCGCATAATAGCTTTGTTCCTTGAATTTGATGCAATTTTAACTCAACATATTATCTTTGATGAAATGAGAAGTATGGCATACACAGTACAGTATAGTAAACTTTCTAGCGATAAACTTTCCTGTTTCTAAAAGGTACCTTGTAGATTGTCGTTACCATGGCTGGAAAAAATGGGCAAAGTCTAGGCCCACGGGGTCTTGACGTGTAGGCGGGTGCCCTGACAGACATATATGCATGTATGTACGGCCCAAAAGCACATATATGTAAATAGCATTTTTGCATAGTTTACGCATTTATATGTGCTCTAACCAAGTATATATACATGTGTCCATCTAAATGCTGAAAATCACATTGAAATAATTTAATCACATCTCAAAATTGTAATAAACCAAACAACAAAACAAATGACATACATAAGTACTCAAATATTCATAAAGATCAAATACTAGAATACAAGACCACAAGTACATACTCCATAGTCAAGAATATCCTTCTTAACCTCTCCTGGAACCTACTTAGATAGCACACTACCCCAATTACTGGCGAGGTATTCATTAGATCTATTAATCCCTGCATTTTCGCCTTTACCAAAAAAATTGCACCAGATTTTATTCTTATCATATTTATCCAGGCAAAACCTATATTTCCACACCGGAATCCCACTCCTATCAGAATCCGTGGAAGACATGGAGAAAAAGAAGAAACCTCAAATAGAAGATAGCACACTACCCCAATTACTGGCGAGGTATTCATTAGATCTATTAATCCCTGCATTTTCACCTTTACCAAAAAAATTGCACAAGATTTTATTTTTATCAGTTTTATCCAGGTAAAACCTATATTTCCATACCGGAATTCCACTCCTGTCAGAAACCATGGAAGACATTTGGAAAAAAAGAAGAAATCTCAAATAGAAGATAAAAGATAAACCTTTGTTGCTCAATCTTCAACCTTTGAAGGTTTTGGGTGACTATGAATGTCTAAATCACCCTAAAGTTCCCCTTATAACCTTGCTTTTGTGGTTCAAAATGAATCCAATAAAAGGAAAATAAAGTTTCAGATGATTTTTTAAACTTGTTAAATTTTTCAACCTCAAAAAGAATTGACAAACAGCCACCCACCACACACACGCACACACACAAAAGAACTCTTCCCCGAGGCACATTTTTTTCCCTTAAGGGGAAAAATGACAAAAACTGCCCCATTTTCTGCCCTCGGGCAACGGCATGGCTTGGTTTCCCTCTGAGAACTGGGCTCTGTGCAACCGCCTAAGCAGCCGACTGTATGAGGCGACCTAGATTGAAGGCAGTACGCTTCCTTCAATGATTACTTGCTTACTGAGACTGCTACAGGGAAGCGACGTAGCTAGTATACTAGTCTAAGTTGTCTGATTCTCAAGGTAACCTATTTCAATTATCTATGCATCTCTATGGCCCTTCATGGCTACGCCTACCAAATAGCCTCTCATAGCTGGTTTCCAAAGATAAATTTCACCATCTAGATGGATCCAAAGGAAACATATATGCAGCAACCATTGGCTTTGACGAATATAACAGATCATAGGCTTCAAACGGACCACATTTGAGCTTGAGCAAGCAACAAGCTCGGAGGTTTGAAAAGTTAAGGAGATGATTATTCAATGATGCCCAAGAACTAGTATCATTCTCCAAGAAACTTTACAAGGTTTCATGTACAATGAACATGTTCTCACGATTGCCATCAAAAGAAGGCAAAAAGTCAAGTCGTACCAAGTACCTTTACTACATCTAAACTAGTATGTCCAAGAAACATCACATAGCGCAAGATCTTTGAAATTAGAATGCATTGACAACATCACACCACTGACATGGTCATCTTCCACTTCCTCCCAACTTCCCGAAAACAGTTAGATTTCTAGTCTTTATATTCTCATTGCTGAAGTTACATGGAGAGAACTGCAAAGTGTATTCCATATAGTTAGTAATTGTTCACTTTTAATGGAACAAGCACTAAAAAGGGTACATGTGCCTTTCCAAAAGATAATGATACAAACGCAATACCTATATGAGCAATAGGCAAGGCCTATCTATCACCATTCAATAAACATAAAAGAATTGTAATAGGGGGCACACCTTGCAACAAAAATCAATCAACGGCCAAGAAGACGCAATACTTGTCTTTTTTGGGCTTTAAAAATGAATGGCACTATTGCATTAAAGGTGCACAACTACTATGTCAAACCGAGATCGAAACACTAATCTGCAGTAGCATCTAGTTGACAATTATCAGACATATAAATAAACAAAATCCATGCAGGAATATGAAGCTATATTGCCGCTAATTATAAAATTTGTTGTAAGGCCAGCCAATGTTTCACCTCTTACAAAATAAGATATTAGGTAGCCATGAAAGCGTAGTACATGTCATGTTTTCAAATCATAAGTATTCACATGCCCACATTCACTTTTCATCAGCATAAGAATACGCCATAATAGTATAGAATCTGCAATTATTTTTTCAAATCAACAATGCCTGAAACATCAATGCAAGTCATTTACTCATTTACCCATGAAAAAAACACATATTAAACAATTAATTGCAATGTGTACAGCACTTGACAAATAAACAATATGTTCTGAATATCAACAATAGAGGAGGACAACATACCTGTGATCACTCTCTTTGGACCCAATTCCCTAACCGTATCAAGGAGTCTTGATAAGGCATCTGGGGTGCGAGCATAGTCCACTATCACTGCAAATGCTTGTTCCTCATCAATCAACTCACATCGACCGGGAACTGCATCAACTTCTTCAATTCCCCTCACAATATCCTCTAATGGGGCTCCAACTGCAATTCCCACCGCAACAGCTGCAAGAATGTTAAGAATATTGTGCCTTCCAAGCAAACCCGAAGATATCTCCAATATACCTTGAGGGGTGTTAACCAAAACTTGACTCTCAAATAAAGATAGTTCAAACTTCAATGGATAAACATCTGCATTCTTGTTTTCCATTGCAAATGTTACGACAGGCACTTCAGGGTTCCCCTGTGCTATGAAGAAAGGAGCGTTTGGATCATCGCTATTCACGACTTTTCGATGGCGATCTGGGTCTACCATTTTAGCGAAGAGCTTAGCTTTAGCGTTCCTATAGTCCTCCTCAGTTCCATGATAATCCGAGTGATCCCTAGTCAAATTGGTGAAAACAGCTATATCGAAATCAACCTCATCACACTGACCCTGTACTAAAGCATGAGATGAAACCTCCATGACCACTGCTTCAGTTCCATTATGCACCATTTTAGCCATCAATTTTTGGACCAAAACCTCATCAGGAGTCGTGTTTGAAGATTCAATTTGGTTGTTTCCATGAACGTAATAAGCTACAGTCCCCAAAAGCCCAGTCCTCAAAGCCATTGCCTCATACATTCCCTTGAGCAAATACGAAGTCGTAGTCTTCCCATTAGTCCCTGTGATCCCAATCACCGACAATTTACGAGATGGATTCCCATAAAATGAAGCTGCTAAAGCTGGGAGAACAGCTTTAGTGTCTTCTACCATAACTACTGCTCTGCACCCAAGGCTCTCATCAAGAGTTATCTCTTTACTAGCTACAACTGCAACTGCCCCTCTCTTCTCTGCCTCTCTCAAATGCAAATGCCCATCAGTTTGGTGGCCAACACAACATACAAAGAGGTCACCGGGATTAACCTCTCGCGAATCATGTTGAATTCCCTTTATAACGACCTCAGTATCCCCCAAAACCATAACAGGAACCACTCGACTCCCATCTAAGAGCTCGATCAAGCTCATACTAAACTTTGGTTCGACAATTCTAACCAAATTTTCCTTTGATTGATCGAAATAGATGTCAAAATTTGAATCTAGTCCTGGATTATTTACCTCTTTAGGAATTTCCCTCTCTAGGCTCTCTTTGGGTCGTTCCTCAGATATGATAGTGAGTCCTTGAAGCTTCTCTATCTCCTCCAAGTCCAATACTTCCTCAGGCAATAGCTCCTCAATCCCTTCGACCTCTTTCTTTTTAGGTGGGTTTGGAGAGAGAAGGCCCTGGTCCACGAATTCCTTGCGCTTGAGAGCTATGGCTTTGTCTATCTCTCCAAAAAGGTCATCACCATCATCAAGTGAATTGGGTGTTTCAGGAGATGGTTCCGGTGGGTCGTGTTCTTGAGCGATAGCAGCCAGAAAGATGGATTGTTCTTCTTTGTACTGGCGTTCTTGTTGCTGTCGAGCCTTAGCAGCTTGTCGAGCCACTTGCTGGAACTTCGAGACTCCATGAGCAGAATCCTCAGGAACTTCAGGGGGTTCATCCTCAGATGGGTCAGGGTAGAATTTTCCATCAGGGCCTATTGCCATTGGAGGTCGCAATGAAAGAGGTATGGGTTTAAGAGAGAAGGTGGGTTTGAGAAAGAAAATGGGATTTTGAGAGAAGCCATTGGATTTGTGAGAGAAAGTGGATAGGTGAGAGATGATGGGTTTGATAGAGGCATTGGGTTTTCGAGTGGGCTTGTTAGGATGAGAGGGGAGATGAGAGGGGGCGGAAAAAGAAGAAGACAAAGCCATGGGAGTTGGAGATAGGCTGTGTGGACTGTGGAGAGAGAGAAAGAGAGAGGAAGCAAGTTTAAATGGAAGTTAGAGCTCTGGACCAGGTGAAAACAACCACAGGAACAAGTTGGGGTAGGGAATAAACATGGAGCTTAGACCAATTCATGACCCACAAGGGGGAGAAGAGAGAGAGAGCGCGCAATAACAAAAATCTGTGAAATCGGCCAGGAGGAGGGCCACGAAAATAGAGAGGAATGAAAAGAATAAGTGTATGAAGAAGAGAGAGAAAATGAGCAGAGAAACCAGTAAAATGGAGGTGAAAAATATGTACTACGCCATTACAATATTGGTTAAGAGAGAGAAACGAGTTACGGATGAAGTGTACTTGTGGGAAAGCAACATAGAAACCCAACAATGGAGGAGCACCAAATTTTGAATGCGAGAAAGAAAGGAGAAGCAGAGAGAGAGAGAGAGGGGAGCTGTGACCGCTTTCAGACAACCGATAAAAATATGGCGGGTTGATTCAGTGGGGATATAACAGTGATTATATGGACGGTCCGATTCTGGACAGGAACGGAAGTGAGAATTGGGGACCGTCCATTAGAACCACTTTAAGCGGTTCTGAGAACTGACGACCGTCCATTATAACCACTTTGCGTTTTGGAGTTTCAGACGGTGGATGATGGTTAATCTAGGGGCGGCAATGGACCCAGAAGCAACCCAACCCAGGACCGATTCGGGTTCTAGTATTGGTCCAAAAATTGGATCCGGTGGGTCAGGTCCACGTCCTAGTCTTGGACCCGAACAGTATTTGGGTATGGGTTCGGATCCTGTATTTAAATATAATTAAGTACATAAGTATTTTGATTTTTGGGTCAAGTCTGAGTCCCATACTATATATTTGTCATTGGGTTGAAGTCTGGGTCTGAGTCGGGGTCCAGGTCCCATGTCATTTTTTTGGGTTTGGGTCTAGATGCGGTTGGACCCAAACCCGACCCACCCCATTGCCACCCCCAAGAAAGTATCGCCATTCAAACTAGTAGCCTGGTTGGCTAGCTCTAAAAAAGTAAAGCTTGATATACAAACTATGGTATGGGAGCAGGCTAGGCGAATACTGGCCGGTTTGGCCTAACCCTATACTGACCGGTTTGGCCTAACGCCAATTTCTTTTCTTTTTTTTTTTCATTTATTTTTGACCCGACTGAGTCTCGATTCATGTGCCAACCCTATAAGCACAAGGGCCAAGCTAGGACCAAGGCTGGACACTTGTGCTAACCCTATGGGGACAAGGGCCAGCCCAAAGGCTAAAGCTGGGGATTGAAAGTGGGGAACAGAGTTAGAACAAAGTTGTGGCCAGGGATATGGTTGGGAGATGCTTCACTCATGATTCAATTTCCAAATGTTTTTCGCCGAGTTGTTTCCAAACAGGCAACGATCTCTTAAATGGTTAAAATCCAAATGTTTATCGCCGGGTTGTTTCCAAACAGGCAACGATCTCTTAAATGGTTAAAATCCAAATGTTTATCGCCGGGTTGTTTCCAAACAGGCAACGATCTCTTAAATGGTTAAAATCCAAATGTTTATCGCCGGGTTGTTTCCAAACAGGCAACGATCTCTTAAATGGTTAAAAGTTAGGGAACTCAATTGCTTTCGGAAAGTTAAATCTCAAGGTGAGGAGAATAGACGAGGCCACATAACCTCAGGGTCTTGCTTTGATGCAACTACTTAACACTTTCGGCTTCTTCCCTCATGATTATTTAGTGTGGAAGCGTAATCGTACTGGTAATTTTTCAGTAAAACTTTTGCAACGAGAGGTTCGTAATGATAAGAGTTTTTATTTATGCAACAAAAACACCAAGGTTTGGATGATCAAGATGCCAAAACGTGTCAAAGCATTCTTATAACTACTAGAACATGCCAGGGTATTGATGAGGAATCAATTGAGAAAGAGAGGAAAGATTTTAGATTATGCTTGTTGTTTTTGTGAAAATGCAACTGAGGATTGTCACCACTTATTCCTTCATTGTCCATTTGCCACCTTCTTTTGAAATTGGCCATGCACAATCTCTAAATAATAGTGCAATATGTCAGGAAATATTCAACGTTTGTTTGCTTTGGTGCTCAACCCTCCTTTCTCCAAAATGGACCTCGACCTTTGGCGTATTCTTTGTGATGCAGTGCTTTGGTCTCTGTGGAAAGAGAGAAACTTATGAATTTTAAAAGTTTTTTCATGCACAGGCTAACATCTCTATGAGAATGATGAAACTCATTGTTCATTGCGCCCAGGCTTCTATGTGCTTCAAGAGCTACCCCAAAGAATATTTTTACACCAACTTTGCGGACTCTTCTTTCAGCAGCTGCATAAATATGTTAAGCCTTCTCAATGGCTCCCTCCTTCGATTGGCTGGTTGAAGTTAAATTTTAATGGCAGTGTTAGACACGAAATTCAGAAAGCAGGTTTTGATGGGATTCTTAGAGACCATGAGGTGAATATTATCTTCTTTGGAACTTAACTTTTGTGATATCAATGATGATGAATTAAGTACGATAAAAAAAGGTGTCTCTCGGCTCTAAGGTGATCATGATCACATTATTGGTGAGGGTGATCCTGCTGATGTAATCAAATGTTGTACCCATTCCTCTCTATTCCTTAGCAATGGACCTCTATTTTGGACGAAATTTGTTTGGTCATTTTAGCCAAGGAGGTACATTTCAACCACGTCAACAGAAAAAGAGATGATGATGCTGATGCACTCGCGAAGTTAGGATCCTCTTTTTTTCTCCCTCTCTCCTCTTTTCTACTCCGATTCTCTCTTCTTTTTCTTCTTTGTTGTTTCTCTTTCTCTTTCTTTTTCTTTTTGTTATTATCCTTGTAATTTTTCATTTTCTTAATTTTATGGGTTTATTTATTTTTCCTATTTTTTAAATGTATTCAAAGGGAAGAAGTAATATTTTGCAAACAAAGAGAACTGGATTGGAGTAAAAGAATTGGATTCTTATGCAAACCTAAAGAGAGGTATATTTTAGGGAAATTATCACAAATATCCATATATTTTAGGGGAATTAGAAAAAAAAAACCTTTAATTTCCAAAAACCTCGTCTACACCCTTTTTCTTCATTTTCAGGTTTTTTTTTTGGATCAAAATAACCTTCACGGTAGTCTATTTACCGTAATTCATTTAAATTTTGAGGTAATTAAAATACAGTAATACCTTGAGTAGTATTACGATAATTAAAATACCGTAATAACTTCAAGTAATATTACAGTACTTTAAGTACCGTAATTGATAACACTTTCTTTGCGGCATTCTTGCTACCATAATAATTTGAAGTTTTACTATGGCAATTGAAATGCCGTAATACTTTCGCATGTTATAAACCCTAACCCGCCACTCATTATTTCTTTACGGTTTTGTTCTACAGTTATAGAGCTATCCACTTTTACGGTTCTCAACCTTTGTGCTCAATCTCTCACCAATCTCTAACGGGTCTCTCTCCCTCATCAGATTTTTTAGGTAAGAAATATTTCTCTAGATTTATAAATGAGGTTATATATTTATTTTTTGATTCCACGTTTCGAGCCTACCATGTGATGATCTATTATTCAATTTCTATATTCTAATCATTGTTTCTATATCATAAATGAGGTTGTATATTTTGTTTTTTATTCCACAGATCAACATTGTGTATTTTTTGTTTGTGATGCATCGTGATGATCTATTTGATTCCACTGAGAAGCGATGATTTTTGTAACATCAATTTGAAGATATTTAGGCATCAAAACAATTAGAATTGTAATGATCTAGAAGAGGTTGAAATATCACGTATGTATTTTCAAAACAATTTGATGATCTAGAAGAGGTTGTAATATTAAAACAATTTGATGATCTAGAAGAGGTTGTAATATTAAAACAATTTGAAGATATTTAGGCATCAAAAAACGTGTTCCTTACTTCTATTGTCATAGCCACGGTTCAGTATTGTGCTGATCCATTGTTATGGATAAAACATTAACATGATCCTAATTGTATATGAACTTATGTCTCATGGCTCTAAGAAATGTGGCAAACTACCATTATATTCATGAGAAGCTATGATTTTTGTGATTTCTAAATCCCTTTTTTTTTTGCTAAAAATTAGTTCATATTTTTTGAAGATATTACAAAAATTAGGCCTAAACAATCATATTTTTTCTAAATCTTTTTTTTTATTATTCCACGGTTCAGCATTGTGTATTTTTTATTTGTTATGCATTGGATATATGTATGCATATAGCCTTGGAAATGTGCTCCATATCTAACATAACAAGATAGTTATAAATGAAAGCTTCGTTTTATGAAACGCATGTTGTCTTATGGAGATAAAAGTAGCATGATCCTTATTGTATATGAATTTATGTCTCATGGCTCTAAGAAATGCGACGAAGTGTCATTATATTCATGAGAAGTCATGATTTTTGTGATTTCTAAATCCCTTTTTTTTTGCTGAAAATTAATGCATATTTTTTGAAGAATATTGAAAATTGTTTGCACACAACAACAAGTTGAGTAAGAGTCGACATATCAATTTCATGTATCATTTGTAGCTTATAATTGTCATTGCCTTACATAATTATCCTATGTTTTGGTCTATTTAAGTTAAAAAATTTCATGATCTTGATTTAGTGAACTCAATTTTTGTGCTTATGTTATGTTATATTTTTGTTGAAAATATCAAATGTCATTGTAGACTATCTTTCTTGTGCTAAATCATTTCTCATGTATGCAATGGTTGGGGATTTATAACTTCCCGTGTTCACACCTAGAGCTTAAGCTCTTTTGTGCGTTTTGTGTAGTGATGACTGTGATTACACCTACTTGATTAACTTGTACCAAAAGAGTCCAATGTGATTAAACCTACTTGATTCATTGTGATTAAACCAAAAGGATCCAATGTGATTACTATTAGTTTATTCTTTATTATGGGTTTTTGAACAAGGATCATGGCAAAAGATGCATCATTCCCTGGAGGTCATGAGATGGCTACATTGCTTAATAGACAAAGCATATATCACAGAACATTTGGGAAGGAGATATATGTACAAGTATTTAAAATTATATTATTTATCTATCATGTTAGTTAATCAATTTATTTATTTTAGTATCTAAAATCACAAATTCCACTTCAGGATCGGGAAAATTCCCTCAGGGTTGATGAGAATCCCCATGCAACTTCTTCATGGCCTTTAATAAACAACAGTCAAATTAATTTTGTCTGAAGATCAGAATTGTATCATCTGACAATAGTACCGATGACTCATCATGATCGTGACACATTATATACTATTATTGAGAGGTGGTGCGTAGAGACGAACACCGACCACTTCAATATAGACGTCAGAAAGATGTTGCCTACTCTTGAAGATGCATGAAAAATTTTTCGGTTAAAAGTGACTGGTGTAGGTGTAATTTTGAGGAAAATTGATAACTATGGGGATTATATAGTTCGTATGATAGGACAACTGCCACTTGGTCGTAATCAT